TCATCTCCATCGTCCAGGCTAGCAATATCAATCATCATCTTCATCATCATCATCTTCATCATCATAATCATCATCATCATCCTCATTATCAACGTCATCATCATCATCCTCATCATCACCACGTTATTTCCACTAACGTAGCAGCAGCATTGGCCTTGCGTGAGGCCAGCATAGATTGCCTGACGTCATCATCATCGTCGTCGTCGTCACCATCGTCATTAAGATCGTTATCATCACCGAGAGCGGAGAGATCTGATGATAGCCTGAATAGAATTGAACAGCAGCATAGAATGTTTAATGTTATCAAATGATGCTTTCATTACAATTACATTTACGTTGCTGCTTGGAATTGTTGATGTAGTTGTCGTTATAATGTTGTCTTTATATTAGCATTAAATGTTATTGCTATCTATTGTTTCTACTGTTAACCTCGTACTTACTGTAATTGTTGTTGTTGTTGGTACATGGTACAATTAATGTAATTATCCTCAAGGGAAGCGTCACTATGATCATTACCAAAACTACCTTTGCAGTGAAAAGCATCATCTCATTCCACACCCTCGTCGCCAGCAACATTCTCAAGGTCAAAATAATAAATCCAAATAACTGCTCACACGACAAAAACTTCAACATCAGTGCTGTCCTAAATGTTTCATCACTCTACTAAATTTTCAAGTCACTAACCCTAAAGAGAAGTCAGGCACTTTAAGGCCCTCCATCTTACCACCAGGACTCAGTTGCTGCTGTTGTGGCTGCCGTTCTTGCTTCTTCTTCAAGACATTCAAATCGCAAGGATTCCTAATGCTATCCAACTGTTCGTTGATGCCGGCATCCAAACTCTGAGACGTGATGCCGACCGTCGCAGATTCAAATGCCGAGAGGGTCAGGCTTGTTTCGTTTGTGAGAGAACTTGAAGAGCAGGCTTTCCGGTGAAGTTGCGTCTGCATCGACTTCACGTCGCCCTCTAAAGTGCTGCTACTTGTGGTTATCGTCCCAGTGCTTGTGCTGTTTGCTGTGACAATGACCTCAGTTGTTGTGGTAGATGTGGCGGTAGTAGTAGCGGCAAATTTTCCCCGCGATGTTTTTGTAAAGACTTCGTTTATTTTTTGTTTCACCGTTTGGTTGGTTAATCGTTCAACATTTGCACCCGCATTACCAATGATGATTCTGTTACTAGCATCATCATCATCTTCGCCAGAATCTTGCTTGTTCTCCTTCTCGACAGCTGCTCCTATTCCTGGTAGAAAGTTGTCGATGGATGGAGTGGACAGTACATCACTTGATACAAAGCCACATCTGGAGGAATGATCGGATGATGATTCAGCCGACAATGTGTTGCCATACGCTGGATAACCTCCAATCGTATCGTCGTCCATTTTGTGAGCGTGAATGATTTCACCTCCACTTGTGAAACTTTCACTTCCACTATGATCGTAATCATCGTCGTCGTCGTCGTCGTCATCACGAAGACCACCAGTGCCACGGCCACCAAGAACGAAATCTGACGAAGAAGATCTGGCTTTCCACAGTTCACCAGGATCACTCACTGCACCAAACTTACCAGCCTGTTGGAAGAGCTTGCGACTTTTCACAAAAGTTTTCCTGTCGTCTAATTGGCTGTTGATGTTCGAATGACGGATGACGTCACGCTGCCACGTCTCTGCCTCCGACGAATCAGATGTCAGCGTTACGTCACTGGCCAGTGTTTCGGCAAAAAGATTTTTCTTGATGATGATGCTGTTGCCCTCGATGTTGCAAATGTTGTTGCAGCTGCTACTGACGCTGTTGTCGCTCGTACTCGCCAGGCTACTGTGTTTGTCTTCCGATGTGGCGATGTTGCTGCCGTCAGCGATTGTTGCATCTTTGGCGTACGTCTCACCGCCAACGTAGACATCCTCCACGTCGTCTTCATCTCCTTGGAAGGATTCGACGACATTTACAACCTGCTCAACGGCGCTATCTTCGAAATCCTCCAGGACAGCGTAACTGGGATGTGGAGTCTGTGTAGGAGCTGCTGCTGTCAGATTCAATGCGGTCGATTTCGACACCACAATATTTGTTTTTGTGGCTGTTGAAGTAGCCGCTGAAACTTTGGCCGACCCTGACGTTGTTGTCGGCAGTGTTGACGTTGTTGGTTTGCTTGTAGGAGGAACAATATGAACCAAGGAACTTCTCATCTGGTGATATTTATTAAAAAAAAAACATCAGCTTTAACTATCAATTCATAGCAGCACTATTTATTATTCAATCATTAACTAACATACACTCGTTCTTATTGCAACTGACTCAGTGGTATCCACAAACATACAAACAGTTGATTGACAGCTGGGATTGAGTAACAATTAGCAACGCAAGCACCGTCTAATAATGGCTTCAACAAATATAATTAAATGCATTTAGGTGCAAACTACACACATCAACGTAATAATACGAACATACAATGAAAAAAAAAATTATACATAAACACAATAATGCATACATAGATAAAATATAGATAAATATAGATCTGACTACACACACGCACCCACACACACACACACACTTACTAACTCGTCAACATACACGAACATATTCACACATCTACATACAAAAACATACATATATGATACATACAATACTAACAAAACATGAAAACACACACACATACCTAAACACATACACATACCTAAACACACACACACACAAACACACACACATATATAACTAAACACACACACAAAACATGAACCAAACACACACACACACACACACGCACAATTTAACAACGCCAACCACCAACTAACTCACCAACCTCAAACTCATACAAATACAAATATGGGTCACAAAATTTACATCAAAACTTCAAAACGTTCACACATAGATTAAGATTGTAAGCTGATACTAACAAATAAAAACTGTTATTTGTTATTTAGAAATAAATAGTTGAATATTTTATGAAAAATTCATTATAGTAAATTCGTTCTTAACATTCAAAGACACAGTGAAAACAAACAAAATTGTATAGAACATTACCTACAAAAAAACATGCACAACGTGCCTGTTAGCACTCACAAAAAACCAAATCCCATTATTAAAATTAATAAAACTCCCAGCATATCTTCCACGTTAAAATCCAAATAATATTCAACAAATTCTGAAACAGCATTAAACAAAACAAAACAAGACAACTAAATATCCAAAGATAGGCGTAAAAATTCAACCAACCAACCAACCATCAAAACGACCAACCAACCAACCAACCAACCAGCCAAACAAACAAGCCGAAACAAAACAAAATAATAACAAATAATTAGGATACAGAGATGCAAGCAAACACACGCCTGCCAGCCAAACAAAATAATAAGCAGCACATATCGTTTGATGCTATGTGGAGTGCACACGTTGTTTTATTACCTTATTACACGTTATTGTTGTTCCATGTTATCATATGCATATGCACGGTTAACAAATACATATTCAGGCACATGTTACAAAATAACTAATATATATATATATATATATATATATATATATAAAATATAAATAATTAATAATATATACGAAATATAATATAATAAATATTATATATATATATATTAAATTACATATATAGGTATATAAACATACATAGGTGTGTATAAACCTATACTAAAATACAAACACATACAAATATACCTAAAAAAATGCGCATCCATATGAAAGATTTTTCAAAATATACTTAAACGTAAAAAATACAAAATCACAAACACGGAAACGAACTCCCAACCACAACAACAACAACAGCAACAGCAACAATAATACATTATTCACCAACAAGCATACAAAATACTTAAAATCGTGCTCGCTTTAACAGAAGCTAAGTGGAAAAATTGCATGCGTAAGTGCTAATAAAAATACTACCCAACTACTACAATACTTCTCACTACAACCTCACACGCACATGCATAAAAATCATCTAAAGATTAGCTACACGATTGGCAAAGATATTCAAACGAAAATTATTATGATTCCATTAGCAAAGATGTTTTTCCTGAAA